ATTTTTAGTTGAAGGGCTGCCATGTGGAAGACAGAGAAAGTTTGTTTTCTGCTGCTTCCAGAAGGTAGGACTCGACCAATGGAGCCAAATGACAAGGAGATTCTGACTAAACTTTAGGAAGAGCTTTCTGCTTGATGGTGGAATGGATTACCTTCAAAGGTGGTGGAGTCTCCTTCTTGGAGGTTTTTAAACAGAGGTTGGATGGCCATCGGTCAGGGATTCTTTATCTGCGATTCCTGCATTGCAGGGAGTTTGAAAAGGTGACCATTGGGGACCCCTTCCAGCTCTACAATTTTATGAAAGCGTTCTTTTTAAAAAAATTAATAGCCTAATTGATTAAATAGTGATGCTCTAACTAGAAGAAATCAAGCGCAAACTATGGGGAACCGAATAAGCAATGAAAGGATGGTTTAAGCTGAGTCTGTATTGACTGATTCAAAATTACCTTCATGAGAAGTGGGGCTTCAAAAGCCAGGTATCCCCATACAAGTCCAAAAGTGAGTGTCATTTCCAGATTTTGGAGGAAACGTGGGCAAGACAATCCCCAGGGACCACCCTTCTTCATGAGCTCCACCTCCTGAACTGCAAGCAAGTCCAGGGAACTTGAACATCTGGAAACAGTTACTTTTTTTAAAAACCTATTTTCTTATGGTTTGTATTGGTCGTTGCCTTTGGGATGAGCCACTTTTTAGCTTAATTAGAAAGGTGCTCCTAAAAGACTTTTAACGATAGCTCTTCAGTTTCCCTGTTCCACGTACAATGATTTTTCTGATCCTCATTTATGCCTTTGTGCTAAGGTGTCTTCAGACCTCAGTTGATACTGTTTGCTCAGCATGTGCTAAATCACAACTTTGCTTATATTTATTCTTTTTGTTTGTTTGTTTGTTTAAAGTTTTACTCAATGGGAAATGATATACAATGAAATGAAAAGGATGTTTAAAAATAACATTTGTACAAAACCCAGAATCCTTTCTCTTGGGAATTACAGGGATAGAACTACTTAAATCGTATAGAAACTTATTCATATATGCGACTACAGCGGCAAGAATGCTACTTGCCCCAAAATGGAAAGAAGCAGAAGTCCTAGCAAAGGAAGAATGGATACAAAACTTATGGAATATGCAGAAATGGTGAAACTTACCGGAGAATAAAAAATCAAGATAACAAACTTTTTATAAAAGAATGGAAATGGTTTGTTGAATATTACAGATAAATTGTAAACAGATAAAAACTCTGGCAGGATTATTGTCATAACCTGCAGTTACATAAGAGTATATACTTAAAGAAGGTAAATAAATGAGTAAGTCAAGTTAATTTGGATATGCAGAAGATATTAAAAATAAATTTAAGGAACTGCAGAAAGAGGGGGGAGGAAGTTAAGATTTTAAAATGTCAAAATGACTGTAAAATCAGTGAAATGTATATATCTGAAAAATATAATAAATAATAAAGTTTTACTCAATGAAATTCTGTAAAAAATATACCTCTGACTCCTAGAAAGTTGTGGATTCTTTGGAAGCCATTTCCCTCTGTTGCTATTGGAACACTGGGACAGGATTGGCGGTGCCTTTCCAGTGTTTACAGTTATTACTATAGTAACCGTATCCTTAGCCACTAAGATGCTGTTCTGGTTTGTCTAAGAATCAAGATTAAAAGGTGTGGGTGGTGCTACAGAGCCTCCGTATTTTCCAAGGAATGCGATCAAGAAACGCACCCCCCCCCGGCAAAAACAACAGCCCTGTTGCAGTTGTCTTGTGAACAGGTCTTGAGGCATACCGTGTCATAGACCTCAGCACATGTTGGTTACAATCATCACCACCTCAAGATGAGGGAGCAATGTCAATTCAGTATCGCTCTGCTATATTGGACTTTTTGTCAGAATGTAATGGAACTTACATTTCGTCTTTTACACTGTTAGCTGTAACGCCACTTACAAATCACTATAAAACCAAGTACCTTGGTTTATGAACTTAATCCGTTCCGGAAGTCTGTTCTTAAACCAAAACCGTTCTTAAACAGAGGCGCGCTTTCCCTAATAAGGCCTCCTGTCACCAGTGCCCTTGCACTGTTCGGATTCCGTTCTTAGACCGAGGCAAAGTTCTCACACCAGGAAACTATTTCTGTCCAAATAGTAACTATTTCTGTAAACCAAATAGTTCTTAATCCAGACTGTTCTTAAACTGAGGTACCACTCTATATCCGTTTCTACTTCTGTTTCATACTGATAAAACCAATTCATGTGGATTAATTCACTGTGACAATGAAACTGCAAATGCATACTGTATAAACTGAGACTAAATATATTGTATAAGCACTTTGAGAACTCCAGTGCCTTCCGGTCCATGTAAGAGTCCAATTCAAGAGTTGGTGTTTACCTTAAAAACCCTATGCAGGTAGCTGAAGGAATGTTTGCTTCTGCATTAACCTGTGCATTATTAATCTGCCTTTGTATCAAAGCTCTGTTCCATCATCCTCATATGAGATAAAGTCCGTGGCATCCTAAAATTACAATGCAATCCTAAAAAGTCTCTTAAATTCAATGGACCTTATACCTAAGTGTGCATATTGTTACACTTACACAAGCACACACTGCAAATTGTGAGAGATTTCAGGGGTGCCGGCACCTACTTTGGTTTAGATTTCCTTGTAACGGTCCCTGGAGACTGTGGTGGTTTGTTTGTTTTTTGTCATATTGCTCTATTTACACACGTATACAACCTAAGAATGAGATGGAAGGACTCACAGCATTAATACTCCAATAGAAGTTGCTCCCCCATTAGGTTTCCAGCATGGACGTAGCCAAGGGGTGCACTGCCCCCCCATCAAGTAAATGAATAAAAATAATTAACTAACTGACCAATTGCATCATGGATAACTCAGTTCTGCCCCCCAACATAAAGCCTGCCCCCCTAAAATAAACCCTGGTTTCCAGGGAGTCCCACCCCCCGTCATAGTTTGGGTTTCAGCAAGCCAAGCCTGAAGGTCTTTCCAAGTCCAGAAGAGACTAACTTCTGTCTTACCTCCTTTTCTGCAAATATCACTAGCTAGTTGTTTAGATATGTAAAATGGGCTCATATAAGCGCTAGCTTAACCAAGACTGATTTCACCACTTCAACTAGACTCCTGCCTAATAGATACAAAACCACAAGACTAGGGTTTCCAAAGTTATAATCCACCCATCCCCATCTTTTAACACCCTGATTGCAGTCTTCACATATTGTTAAAATGTTGTGATTTATTCTATTCTCTTTTCACTTTTGTATTTTACTATGTTTCTGTAAATGTCCCTGCGAAGCTTTGCTGGTGGGAGGCATGTACATCTTTTAAATAAATGCACAGTATCGGTTTCACTTCGCTATATCACATTACAGCCAGTTTGTTTTGTTCCCTATTTCATGCCAATTTACTCAGAGCAAAGAGTGTACCTCTTTTTGATTTATTTAAACTGCGGCATTTCTCCATAGATAACTGCACATACCGTGTTGTGCTTGTGTGAAACAGCCATTACCAGATACAACTAACGCCATGAGAAGCTGAACAGCAGGTACTGGGCAGTGGGTTTTTTAAAAGATGGATAAAGAAGTTATCATCGAATAGTAGAGTTGGAAGCATAGCTGTCAACCTTCCCCTTTTTTTGCGGGAAATTCCCTTATTCCAGCGTCGTTTCCCGCTGCTATCCTGGATTGTTAGATATCCCGTAGACTGTCTCTGGGACAGGTGAGGCTGCTGATCCCTTATTTTCGAGGCTGCTGATCTCTTATTTTCAAATCTGAAAGTTGACAGCTATGGTTGGAAGGGACCCCATGGGTCATCTAGTCCAACCCCCTGAAACACAGGAATCTCAGCTAAACCCTTTGTCAGAACACCAGAAATTGGGGACATCCAATGATGCTGAATGTTGGAAGACTTCGGACAGATAAAAGGAAGTACTGTACTGTACTGTACTTTATTTTAGACACACAGCACATAGCTGAGCTATGGAACTCGCCCCACCAGCAGGCAGTGATGGATGGCTTTAAATGGGGATTAGACATTCTTGGCGGAGAGGCCTATGGATGGTTACTAGCCGATGGCTATACTTTGCCTCTACAACTGGAGGCAGCAATGATTCTGAATACTAGTCACTAGTAGACACAAGAGAGAGGCTCTTGTGCTAGAATCCTGCTTCCAGGATTCCCACAGGCATCTGGTCAGCTACTGTGAGAATAGGATGCTGTAGGAGGTGGGCCATTGGCATGATTATAATTATTAATTATAATTATTATTTTCGGGTGTCTACCTTTAGAGGCAATGAACTCCCAACAGAGTTCACTCTGAACTACAGTAATGGGCAGGTTGAGCCCTCTCTCCCCAACTCGCTGCTGCGACCCGTCTAAAGAGCCCATTTCCTTCCCTGCAAGTTTGCGAAGAGCCCAGCTTTAAAACCACTTGGTTGAAGATAAAATAACAAATAACAACGAGCGGAGTGCTCTTAAAAAAATAAAATGAAAAGGCTCCTTCTTCCTTCCCCGGTCCTAAAAACTGCAATCCCCTCGCGGGAAAGGAAAAGGAAAGCGGGCGCGCTTCGACGCCACTCGCGCTCGCCTAACCCTACAATCACGTTGCGGGGCGGCTTTGCATTGCAGGATTGGCGGCTTCCCCGAGTCGCCGTCCTCCTTCCCCCATGAATCGCATCTGCAAGCGCGCTCCGACGGCAGCGGGAGAAGCCGCTTGGCAAAAGAGGAGACCCGCCCGCCGCTCCAGAGCTCTGTGGCGCTTGAAAGCCTGACGGACTTAGACGTTGCTTTATTTTATTATTTTTTAAGTGCCGGACGAGGACTCTTCTGCTTCCTCTTTATGACTTGCCCTGAGGGGACGCCGCAGTGGCGCACACAGACACGCGCCGCCAGTTCTCCTCAGAGAGAGATGCCCTCTGGAACTGTTGCTAAATTCTTCCGCGGGGCCCCGAAGAGGCGCGACCCGGACGGGCAGATCTGAGCTGCTGAGGCACTTGGCGCGCTTTATGGCCAGGACCAGCGGAGACGCCACTGCGCCGCTTCCCAGGCGAGGAGGGAAGGAAGGGCCAGGCAGGCCGCGCGGCCGCCCGGCTTCCCTCTCCCTCCTCCTCCTGGGCTGCCGGGCGGTGACAGCCGAAGCCAGGCTCGCTGGCGGCAACAACATGTCCGTCGCCTTCCCCTCCTCCCCGCTGGCTTCTTCTTAGCGGCGCCTCCTCCTCTCCGCCCAGCAGGACCCGCCCGCGGTGCGGCCCTGTCCCCTCCTTCCCTCCCTCCGGAGGGAGCAGCCGGCGGCGGCGGCAGCAGCGGGGGAAAGGGGAGGCTCCATCCAGCGCGCTCGCTCGACGGGCGCACCGAGCCGGGCACTGGGCGAGGAGCCTGGCGGCGAGCCTCGTCGTGCCGGCCGGGCTGCGGCATGGCTGAGGCTGGCGCGGCCGGGGCGGGAGCCGCCGCCGCGGCGTCCTCCGCCACCACAGCAGCCGCGGTCGGCGGCGGCGGCGGGGGAAACGGCGGCGGCGGCAACGGAGCGCTGCAGCAGGGCTCCCCGGCCGCCGGAGGGCTGGCCGCTTGCGGACCCGTCCGGGCTGTGGTCGCCGCCGCCGCTGCCGCGACTGCCGAGAGCCCCGCGGCGACGGCTGCTGCTGCTGCTGCAGCGGGAGGTGGTGGCGGCGGCGGCCCGGGCAGCGGCGGCCCTGGCTCGGCTCGCGTCGTAGGGAAGAAGGCGCAGCTCCGCGCCGCGCCGCGCGCCAAGAAGCTGGAGAAGCTGGGCGTCTACTCCGCCTGCAAGGTAAGCCGCTCGGTGCGGGTTTTTTTTTGGGGGGGGGGGTCGGCGGAAAAATAAAACACAGTAATAGTTGTAGTAGTAATAATAATAATAATAATAATAATAATAATAATAATAATAATAATAATAATAATAATAATGGACTCGGCAGCGGCATCCATCCATAGACGTCGCCCTGTTAACTTGCAGCCCCCAGGGGGCGTCCAGCGTTGCCGCTGTTGCTGTTTGCTAGTTGCTGTCAGAAGGGGAGGCGCCGGAGCTGCCGGCCGGGCTACTCCTTCGGCCCGTTTGGAAAGCGGAGCGAATGGGAGGCCCTTAAAAAATGGAACGGTTGCACCGGTGAGTGCGTGTGCGGGGAGGGGTGTGTGTGTGTGTTTGTGGATGTGCACGCACGCGCAAACGGGTGTTTTCATTCCTGCCGCTCCACTTAAGGCAGCCTGGCAACAGGTTGCTCGCTGGGGAAGCAGCGATTTGCTTAATTTTCTTCTTCCTGACCTGTAGCTATGTTTCGTTGCGCGATCGCCTGATTCGGATTAGTTCATGCATGCATGCACGCATGCCAGCGTAGCTGAAAAGAAAAAAGAAGGATCATTTCCCATTAGCTCCTGCAAGCTCCGTTGTTAACTGTGTTTGGGGTTGGTAGTTATCGTGGGTTAACTGGCTCATGGTGCAGTGATGCACACAGTATTATGTTGTCATGCGGCTGGATTACTGTAGTGCGCTCTGTGTGGGGCTGCCCTCTGGGTTGGCCTGGAGGCAGGGACGCGGACTTATAAAAAATATTGGGGGGGCCCGGGAAAGCTCATGAATAATAAATAAGCTCATGAATATGCAAATAAAGTGGCGCCGCCTCCTCGTGAGCGAATAGGGGAGAGCGTGCTGCGCCTATTAATCAGCTCCAAAGGAAATTGGGTGGAGCTTTTGCTCGGGAGGGAGGGCAGGAGGCATGCAGCCCGCCCCTCCCTGTGCATTTTGGGCTGGGGGAGGGGCGGCGATGGCGCTCTGCTGGAGGGGCGCCGGAGATTATTGGGGGGGCGGAGCCCCCCCAAACGAATTTTTGAGGGGGCTCGGGCCCCTCAAGCCCCATGGAGTCGGCGCCTATGCCTGGAGGCTGCAGCTGGTGCAGAATGTGGTTGCAGTGGTTGGAGACAAACTACTGCCAGCATGTGACACCTTGCTTGAAGGATTTGCACCGGCTGCCAATCTGCTACTGGGCCAAGTTCAAGGTGTTGGTATGCACATAAGTCCCTGTACAGCTCAGGACCAGGTTCCTTGAGAGACTGCCTTATTTCTTATACTCCCAGTAGATTGCTGCAGTCTGTGGGACAGTTTCTCCTGCAAGTTCCAAAGCTCTCAGAAGCGCACTCCCCAGTAACTTGGAGCAGGGTGTTTTGTGTGGTTGCCCTGTCCTGTGGATATGACAGGTGCGCATTATCTACAGTTTCTGGAAAGAGTTGGACACATTTTTGTTCTAACAGCCTTTCCCGCTGTTAGGGTTTCAGTCATGTGTGTGTGTGTGTGTGTGTGTGTTTTAACTTATCAATTATCATAAGCATAAATCGTCTTGATTGTAGAGCTGGAAGTGACCCTGAGGATCATCTAGTCCAACCCTCTGCAATGCAGGACTGTGCAGCTGTCCCTTACTGGGGTTGAACCTGCAACCTTGGCATTATCAGCACTGTGCTCTAACCTACTGAGCTATCCACCCCTGGCCTATCGTTCTCTAGGGGCTGGAGGCATCACTAACAAATCGTTTCTATGGCAATACATTTATACTTGACCAGGCTCCCATTGTACAGATATAAAACCACAGGTTTGGAGGGCGCCCGAAGGTGTAATCCAAACCAAACCCCTTCCCCAATCCATATTGTGGGACAGGTTGTGATTACTTAAGGGAAGGGGAGTACTTTGCACTTTCTGGATGGCTAGAGCTGCTCAGTTCTTTGCTTTTGCGCCATATGTCCCAAGCTTGGCAAGAGAGACATCTTTCAGAACTGGGTGAAATTCAGCCTTCCCTGCACTTTGTCTGCCTTCAGCTTCTGTATGGCTCATTTCCACTTGACAACCCAATGGAAGGTCTTTCCAAAAAAGCCCCTTACTTGCCCTGCTCTGTTTTTAAGGAAGCCCCATGGCAAGACTGAAGGTTTCAATGTGTGTACAGTGTTTAAGTGGAGATGTTCCTCAGTTCTCTGCACAGGGAGGAAAAAGAACCAATTTGCAGGCAGCTGTAAGGCAACGCAGGATTGAGAATGCATGTCAGAAATGCGAGATGTCAGTGCATCTTTTTGGAGAAAGTGATATGGAGAGGGGGGGGGAAGCAGGGAGAACATTGTGTTTTCAGAAGAAAAGAATACTCAGGCCCAGCAGGTTATGCCAGCCGTTTTTTTTTACTCTATTATTTGCTTGGTAAAATGGTGCCCCAGCTGCTTGTCATGTAAACACAGGATTGAGCACAGAGACAAACTCCTTTAAGTGCCTGCTGTGTGTGTCTGTTTGAAGAGATAAACAATCCCTCCCCCTTTCTTTCTTTTTTGTTTGCACAAGAAAGCCATTCCAGCACTCTGTATCCAGTTGTGTGCAGTGCCAGTGTACTTGGGGAGGAGAGTGGAGAAGGAGAAGCTTGGATTGGGCGCTTTGAGCTGTAACTCCTCCCAAGCTCCCCCCCCCTTCCCTCTGCCTGGTCTTGGCAACAGAGCCTTTGTTTTGACAGGATGACAGCTGAAGGAGGTGGAGACTGTGGCTTGTTCCTTTTTTGCAGCCTGTAGCTGACGGGAAACCCAGATTACCAATAGTATGAGAAGCTCGAAGCTCAGCCTCAGGAGAGCACAGGTGAAGGATCTTCCCCTGCTCTTCTCCTTTACTACAGTAAAAACGAGCTTGAACCATGAATAATTTGGAAATTATTTATTTTATTTTTACAATTCTCTCTCTCCAGGAAACTCATTGTGGTGCATCTTCCTCCTTGCCCATTTTATCCTTAGAACAGCCTAACTAAAGTAGGTGTCTGGCCCAATTGCACTCTGTGAGGGGGGTGGGGTTCAGTTTCTCTGAAGTCTTAGTCCTGTATTCGAACCCACTTTATCACACTGGTTTGCAAACACTCAAGGCTACATCTAAGACTAGGTTTGTATACCTCATATTGCAATGTGTGAATGAAACAAGCATATTTGGAATACACAGTACAGTGGTACTTCGGGTTACATACGCTTCAGGTTACACACTCCGCTAACCCAGAAATAGTGCTTCAGGTTAAGAACTTTGCTTCAGGATAAGAACAGAAATCGGGCTCTGGCGGTGCGGCAGCAGCAGGAGGCCCCATTAGCTAAAGTGGTGCTTCAGGTTAAGAACAGTTTCAGGTTAAGAACGGACCTCCGGAATGAATTAAGTACTTAACCTGAGGTACCACTGTATATTCTCTAGAGAGATAAGATTGACAGCATCTTCTTTGTGCTTGGGTGTTGCCTTCATCCCCTCTGCAATCTGAAGATAAGATTATAAAGACCTTTTCCCAGCATTCCCAATAAAAGTCCTTGCCACTGCCCAGTTCCCACTGACAGCTCCCCTCCCCCTGCCAAGCTAAAAAAAAAAAAAAAGGTATAAAAGGTAAAGGACCTCTGGACAGTCAAGTCCAGTCAAAGGCGACTATGGAGTTGCGGCGCTCATCTCGCTTTCAGGCCAAGGGAGCTGGTGTTTGTCCACAGACAGCTTTCTGGGTCATGTAGCCAGCATGACTAAACCACTTCTGGTGCAATGAAACAGCATGACGGAAACCAGAGTGCACGGAAACGCCATTTACACCACAGCGGTACCTTTTTATATACTTGCACCGGTGTGCTTCCGAACTGCTAGGTTGGCAGGAGCTGGGACAGCGCAACGGGATTCGAACCGCCAACCTTCTGATCAGCAAGCCCAAGAGGTTCAGTGGTTTAGACTCAGAGCACAGCATCACCTATGAGGGAGGGGTGCATTCTGTCAGGATGTGAGGAAGGGTGTAATCCCCCCTCCCTGTGTCAGGAATTCTGGGTTACAACGTCCCTCCACATACACCTACTATTAATTTAAATGCTAGCTGTACACCATGTATTTAAGGTATAGTTTGACCCTCAGAATTTGCTATGAAACATTTTAGTACTCTGAAGTTTCTAAAAATAAAAAGTCGTTCTTTGATTGGAATTGTTTTTAACACTGATAATGTGTACAGCATGACCTGCTTGTTAAAAATGGCCAAATCATCATAAGACTAGGCACTTCATTAGAAGTTGCTGCCTAATCCATGTGCTCTGCACACAAAAGTAAGAAAATGAAGAGTTAACCTCGTCATGTCCCTCTAACCAGTAATATTTAGAGTGGCGATAAGGGCAATGAGGCATTAGGAGCTAGTAAAACTGGCAGAATAATGCCTTTAAATCATGCATATACATATATGTCATCATTTTGCACATTGCTTACATGGTATACTGCTCTCTGTTCCAAGTAGTGTACAACCTAAAATGTAGAGGAAACAACAGATGGGGGGTGTAAATAGGGAACAGTTTTGGTTAGATTTAGACTTAGATTATACAAGCTTAGTTACAATAGGGGATGAGAATTTAAATAATTCGGCTTTGATCCCCTACATTCCAATAGTGGAAATAATACTTCAAAAGATGCTAGTTCCTGCTGGAACTCTCTCTGCCTCCTGCCATTCCAATACCCTGAGTCATGCAGTAATAGTCTATGGGTAATAGGAGTAATAATAATCATGCTGCTAGAACAGGGACAAAAGTTTTCCATTGATAAATTAATCCATGAAACAACCCTATGTTGTGAGGTTGAATAGAGGAAACTGTTTGTTAAAACATTTGTACACGTGCAACTCAGCTCTGAACAAGTTTACTTAAAAGTAATTTATAGTGAATTGGCTGGGAATTTCACTCTAGTCACCAGCGCACTCTGGTTCCCTTTAGATGTTGATGGACTACAAATCACAGTAGCCTCAGCCAGCACGGCCAATGCTCAGGGATGATGGAAGTTGTAGTCTACAACATCTGGACAGCACTGTGTT